TTGAACCACCAGCCGTCTGGTTAGCAGGCAAGTGTCTTAGCCACTATGCTACCAGAGCTCCCCATTGAACATTAAATAGATGCTAACTTGAGTAAAACAAGTTTTTCATTTAAACAATAACAGCTTATTTTGTACTAGATAATCAAGTGGAGGAAACTTATAAAGTATGAGTAAAGTAATAGCTAAAACAAACAAAAAAATCAAGTTGCCACTGAGTCAGTTGCAGCTCATTGAGTCCCTGGGTGATACAGTTAAGGGTTAGGGTTCTAAATGCAGGGTAAGTGGTTCAAACTCATCCACTGGTGCCTCAGAAGGAAGGCCTGGTAATCCAATTTCAAAAGGTCACTGCCCTATGAGACCAGAAGAACTAGATGGTGCCCAGCTACCACTGTCAGCCACCCCAAGGAGGATCTATGTAAGTGTTCCTGATAAAATAGGAAAACAATGTGGAACAAAACTCAAAATCATTAAAAAAAAATAGGGGAGGGGACCAAGTTTGCTGGTCTGATGGATTCCGGTGAAACCCCAGAGACTATGGCCCCTAGTTGCCCTTTAATCTGGAATTGAACCCACACCTGTGGCCTCCAGCCAAACAAAAGACAGGCATATGAGCTGAACATTTACATTAGGAAGATGCACTCCTTGGAGAGATCGATCATGGGAAAATAGAAGGGCTGTGTATGCACAGGGAGACAGCTGAGGGACAAGATTGCATGGGAGTGAAGGACACAGGGAAGAGGTGGCTATGGGGAAGAAGTGGGAGGAGAGCTGTTGCATTGTGGGAGATTGCAGTCAGTGTCATGAGAGAAAGTATATGTGAACTGCTATATGGAAGAAAAATTTACTCTGTGAACTTTCACCCAAATCACAATAAAATTTAAAAAAAAATTATCCTCTAATAATTTAAGATACTTTTTGATAAAAAAAAAAAAAAAGAAGGCTTATTGCTCTGATAGAGACTAGTTGAACTCCCAAGACTGTGGTCCTTAGATATCCTTCAAGAGCCTGGAATTTAACTCACCCCCATGGCTTAACTTCCAGCCAAACAATAGACAGACTGATAAGGTGAACACTAGGGAAGTAAGCACTCCTTAGAACAATCAACCATACAAAATCAAAAGAGCAGTATTTTCCCAGGAATAAAGCTCAGAAAGCAGGGAGGGATAGAAAAGAAGGGCAAATGGAAACACTATAATTCTGTTATCTATGAGTACTGCTGGTGGTGTAGTGCCTAAGGCATTTGACTGCTAACCAGAAGGCTGGCAGTTCAAATCCACCAGCCACTCCTTGGAAGGAAGGTTGGGCAATCTACTTCCATAGTGATACCACCTCAGAAAGCCAACGAGAGGTCACTGTGAGTTGGATCCAACTCGACGGCAGTGAGTTTGGTTTTGGTTTTGCTAGAATATTCTAGACTAGGAAGTGGGAAGAGTGATGATACATTGTGAAGATTACAATTGTTGTCACAAAACAATACGTGTATGAATTGTTGAATGAAAAACCAATTTGCTCTGTGAGATTTCACCCAAATCACAATAAAAAGAATTTAAGATATGTTGGGGAATAACAATAACAAAAAAGAGTCCCTGCCATGAAAACTCTATGGAGTGTAACACATGGGATCATTGTGAAAATAATGGCTATAGTAGGACATAGAAAATGTTGTCATATAATTAGTTGGAAGTACAGAATTCTACCAGGTGACAAAAAGAAATTTTGACATTATATAAGATCAAAAGTGTACAGATAGTCTTTTATATAATGGAAAAAAATTTCTTGGCTAAGAAAGTAAAGTATTCATGGGGATATGCTTTGACTGTCCACCCAGAAATTCCTACTGTTTTTAGGGAACTAGGTTTAGTCTGCAGTTTTTTTAGGTGAGTGAATGACATGAAGTCCTCATATGCTGCCTCCCTATAGGACTTCAGGAATGCTAGCCTTCCCCTAAGTAGTTTGAAAATTTCATAATTTATTTTATTATTGAAACACTGGATAGGATAGTATAAAATTGCTAAAATTTAAATCCAATATTACTGTTAGTCAGAATTTTTTAACTAAATTATTTTATCCCTTCTCTTTCAGTAAAATGATCAATTTATCAGTGCCAGACACAATAGATGAAAGAACAATCAACAAAAAGAAACTCACCCCTTTCACCATTCAGGTAAGTCTTTTCATGACTGCTAGTATAGCACTGTGCTTAGAATGAGCACTGTAGTTACTGGGTGCTCAGACACTGTTCCCCAAACCCAGGCTTTGGGCTGGTGATTTGTCATGACTAGATTGAGGGAATTCTGGTGGTGGTTCAAACCCACCAGCCACTTCTCAGAAGGAAGATTGGGCAATCTACTTCTGTAGTGATACCTCCCAAGGAGGTGTTGCTATGAGTTGAATCTACTTGATGGCAGTGAGTTTGTTTTTGGTTAGTGAAGATTGAAGGAGCCCTGGCAGCACAATGGTCAAGCTCTCAGCTGCTAACCAAAAGGTTGGCAGTTAGAATCCACCCAGCCAACTCTGTGGGACAAAGGATTGGTGATCTACTCCCATAAAGATTACAGCCTGCAATACCCTACAGTTCTGCTCTGTCACATGGGTCACCCTGAGTTGAAATCGACTCAGTGACACCTAACAACTACAACAGTGGGGATTTAGGGGCACATAGTATTAATATGGGAGCTCTGGTGGCATAGTGCCTAAGATGTTTGATTGCTGACCAGAAGGCTGGAGGTTCTAAACTACCCGCCACTCCTTGGAAGGAAGGTTGGGCAATCTACTTCTATAGAAATACCACCATGGAAACCCAAGGAGGGGTCACTATGAGTCCAATTGACATGACAGTGAGTTTGGTTTTGTTTGTTTGTTTGTTTGTTTGTTTTATTAGTATAGCAAGGAGGGGAAGAAGGTTGGTGGTGTGTTAGTAGTTGGGGAATTATGTGTTTGTTTTGGCCATTTGTGAATAAAATTAGTATTGGCTGAAATTTCAACTCAAACTTTCCATAATATACAATCTTTGAGCTGATGCCAAATACATAGCATTTTAGCTGAAAAGATGAGCCTTTCTAAGAAGTGAGGGGGTGAAAAGCGGGAAGTGCTCTGGCAACCTTTGCAGTGGTATTGGCCGCAGTCAGGAGTGTGATAAATATAACCTGCTTTTATGCCTTCAGTTTGGTGATTCGCTGGGACAGTAATGAGGAGCAAGTAAGCTGTCTTTCTGGCTTCTGTTCTAGTATTTTAACATGACTGTTACGCTCTCACTCAGAAGCTCTACCTCATTTCTTAAGTCATCTACAATATATAATTTTATGTTTGGAAAATTATAATTAAAAAAAAAATTAAAAGTAAATAACCCTATATACTTTTAAAACTGAAGTGGTTAGAACAACAATTGTTATTAGGTGCAGTTCAGTCAGTTCTGACTCAAAGCAACCCTGTGTACAGTAGAATGAAACACTCTCAGGTCCTGCACCATCATGGTCACTGCTTTGTGTGAGCCCATCGTTGCAGCCACTGTGTCAATCTATCCTGTTGAAGGTCTTCCTTTTTATCTCTGACCCCTCTACTTTACCAAGCATGATGTCCTTCTCTAAGGACTGCTCCCTCCTGATAACAAGTCCAAATTACAACTAGACATCTATAAATGCACATAATGTTAAATTTACTTGTAATCTTGGTCATAAATTGAAATAGTATTTCTTACTCACCACTTCAGCTGCACACTAGAATGAGAACTCACTTTTCTTCTGATAATCCCTTTCTGCATTTGCTGGTGGTCTGGTTTATATTTTCTGTTTTGTTTTGAATTGGTCATTAAAACAAATTGGACAGTGTCCATTGGACAGTGTTATCTCCTCCTTTATGGACCTAAGAACAGTATATGAATCCTGGACTAAAAACTTTATGGACTCTATTTCAACTTATTCCAACTGCACATGAGTTACATTATATGCATTATTGTTCATCAAAAGAAGCTATAATATACATAGTATGTATAGAACTCTGGGTGGCACAAATGATTACTCTTGGCTACTTACTGAAAGGTGCCATGGAAGAATGGCCTGGCAATTTGATTCCATAAAGATCACAGCCAAGAAAACCCTGTGGAGCTCAGTTCTACTCACACACACATGAAGGTTTCCTTGAGCTGGCACCAACTGGACGGCAATTATATATATATAATCTCTGGGAGCTCTGGTAGCATAGTGCCTAAGGCACTTGACTGCTAACCAGGAGGCTGGTGGTTCAAACCCACCAGCCACTCTTTGGAAGGAAGGTTGCGCAATCTACTTCCGTAGTGATACCACCTCAGAAACCCAAGGAGGGGTCGCTATGAGTTGGGTCCGACTAACGGCACATAACAACAACAACATATAAGCTCTGGTGGTGTAGTGCCTAAGGCAATTGACTGCTAACCAAAAGGCCGGCAGTTCAAACCCACAAGCCACTCCTCAAAAGGAAGGTTGGGCAATCTACTTCTGTGATACTGCCATGGAAACCCAAGGAGGGGTCACTGTGAGTTGGATCCAACTTGACGGCAGTGAGTTTGGTTTGGGTTTATGTGTGTGTGTGTGTGTGTGTGTGTATGTTGTTGTTGTTGTTGTTGTTATGTGCCGCTGAGTTGGACCCAACTTGTAGCGACCCCTCTTTGGGTTTCCAAGGCAGTATCACAGAAGTAGATTGCCCCATCTTCCTTCCGAGGAGTGGCTGGTGGGTTTGAACCACCAGCCTTCTGGTTAACGATCAAATGCCTTAGGCACTA